TAAAGTTAATTATCAACTAGCTTACTATCTTCTTCCTTACTAAATAAGAGTTAATTAGCTAACCACATGGAATTATAGGTTGAGTGAGAATTTTAGGGCCAACTAGCTTATTATCTAGAGCAATAGCCTTACTAAATGAATTGACAGATCACTATTACATGGGGTACAGGTTGTGTGAATGTTAGGGCTGCCAGCCAGGACTACATTGCCCGGCTAGCTCAGTCGGTAGAGCATGAGACTCTTAATCTCAGGGTCGTGGGTTCGAGCCCCACGTTGGGCGTGTTCCTATTGGTGCAGCATTAGCAAGGCCCTGGACCCCCTAACTGCTCCATGGGTGCTACACCATTGCTCCCATTCCAAATTAGCTAATCTCATTGGATTGCAGATTCATTCTAGGATGGGTTAAATGCATATATATATATATATATATATATATCATATCAGATGAATGATACAAATTGTAATCAAATTTGTACTATTTTAGGTGAAGACATTTTACCAATCCCTTCATGAAATTCACAAACTACCCAGCAGTATCTTGTCTAAAGTTATTAAATTAGCCCCACATTTAATAGCTGCAACATTAAAGTGATGTACACATTAATGCATCCAATAATTTTAATCCAATTATAGAATATGCATTACTCTCAAACGGGCCACTTTGAATGATGAGTACTTTTACATTTGGTACTTTAGGTAAAGTTTGATGTTAATACTCTTACTTTAGTAGATCTAAGTTTCTTTCATCGTTCAATGAACATATGTAGTCTACAATTAAAACGTAAAAGTCCATCCATCCATCTTCATCTGCTTAACTGGGGTCGGGACGCGGGGTAAAACCTAAAAGTGTTCATTAAATTATTATCTGGGAAATACACTTAATCACATTCCTGCCAAACATTAACGCTAGATTATTAGATTAATACCACGCTCTCATGTGTTAAATGTGAAGATACAACCAGTTAGCTTAGTTTAGCACAAAGAGTGGAAACAGGGGAAACAGCTAGAATGCCTCTGTCCAAATCTAACAAAATCTTTTAAACTAGCACCTCCAAAGCTTACTGATTGCAAATAGTCAGCAACATGTCGCTTTACACTTAGATTTTTGAATGGATTAAACACAGAAGACATAACATGTCAATCAGGGACAGAAATGAGATAATAAACCATTCCTTTAAACTCACATTTAATGATACAACTAACAGTCCAGTAACACTCTCTGATTTGTAGTTTTTACCAAAAAGAACCCTCAAATCTTAAAATATCCCCAAATATATTCCCAAAGATTAATTACCAGCCGGGCAAAGTGGGACCCAACATTTTAGATGCCCCAAAGCGCCCACTTTCTCCATGTGGCAATAACTTAATTCATTCAGTTTATCACAAATCATCACACAAAAAACATGGAGACAGGTATTATTGGAGTACAGAAAGTACACTGGTATGTTTTGGGTTGAAATGGATTTGGGATGATTAATATGGGGTACAAAACTGTATTAACTGTAAAAAATTTAATGCGTGAGTACCTTTTTATATACAGTCTATGGTGAGTACATGCTGCAGGATGTCTGTCTTTGCAACACCTTCTGCAGCAATAAACAGAAACCCTCTTCAATCCCAAAAGGGAAAAGCTTTACAGTAGTTAAGCACACGAATACACACAATTCTGCAAAACAACCCGGAGCCACTGTGTTCAATTGAGTCAATCTATTGTTTTCTTAGATCACAGTTTGGGACTGCATGTTGCATGTGAACCCAAAACCAACCGAAAACACTACTGATCAGGCAGAACTCTCACCACAAATCCACGCACTTTAAAGAGGCGGTATTATGCTCATTTTCAGGGTCAAAATCTTAATTAGGGGTTGTACCAGAACAGGTTTACATGGTTTAATTTTTAAAAAAACACCATATTTTTCTCATACTGTACATTGCTGCAGCTCCTCTTTTCACCCTATGTGTTGTACGCGCCGCTCTTGAGCTACAGAGTGATGCATCTTACTTATACAAAATCTTTGTTGGGAGTTGCACATGCGCAGTTTCCAGGTAAGAACTACTAGCCAATCAGAAGCAGAGAAGGGCGGGTCGTAAGAAACAAGGTAGTGTGATCCAAATCAAAGCTGCTTCAGACTGCGACCGTAACCTAGCAGATGGTATAAGTTACTCACAAGTCCACAACCACACAACATTATTGTTCCACATCTTACCGTCAGGACTAAACGTTGAACTGTTGCCGGTGTTCTGACGATCTATGCTGCCTTGCCCAAAAATGCTACCATAGCGCGAATCGATAGACTCGACTCTACTCGGCCCTGCTCCGTTTTCCATTGCAGATAGTACCCAGAGATAGTACGTAGCTTGTCGTCATAGCGACGCCACACACAATTGCCGCGACGTAATTTTCAATGCGACACACACCAGCTCTTAAAATATATCTACGGTTAAAACGTTTCAATATTACTAAGAATGTAAAGACAAATAAGCAGTATGAAAACCTTCCAGCTGTGTTTTCCTCTGCTGTTGTTGCTGCAGCGGTCTGTGTGACGGCGGGAGCAGAGGGCTCTGTGAGCGGGCGGCTGGCCGGCCTCACGCGCTCCTCCCACGAGTTGGCACAGGTAACCAGTAACCAGTTTTATCCCATCGATTTTCGTCTGAGCTTTTAAAAACAGTATCACAAATGACAGTGTCCTCCAGCCCACTTGATGTAATACCTACAAAATTTTTACTGAAAGTAATGGATTCTGTTGGCCCCCATTTGATCTGTTTTCAACAGCTCCCTATCTACTGGTTGTGTCCCTGATTATTTTAAAACAGCTTGCGTGAACCCACTTTTAAAGAAACCTGGTTTAGATCCCTCCCTCCATCAAAATTTTAGACCAATTTCAAAACTGCCTTTTATTGCAAAGATTCTAGAAAGAATTGTGTCCAAACAGCTGCTCACTGTACTGGAAAATAACAAAATATTTGAAAAGTTTCAGTCTGGTTTCAGGAAGTACCACAGCACTGAGACTGCCCTGCTTAAAGTCACCAATGACCTTTTAATGTCTGCTGATGAAGGCATGTGCTCAGTCCTTGTACTCCTAGACCTTAGCGCTGCTTTTGACACCATTGATCACAACATCATGTTAGACAGACTGAGGCACTGGGTGGGGATCTCTGGTACTGCCCTAGAATGGTTTTCATCCTACCTGTCAAATAGGAAGTTTTGCGTGTCTGTAAACAACTATGTCTCCTCATTCTGTCCAGTTAAATATGGTGTACCTCAGGGGTCGGTCTTAGGACCCATTTTGTTTTCCTTGTATCTGCTTCCCCTTGGACATATTATCCATAAACATGGCATTTCTTTTCATATTTATGCTGATGACACACAAATATACTTGCCTGTCAGATCCACAGACCCTGGAATGCTGAGTTCACTTAACAACTGCCTTTGTGTTAGAGTTAAAAAATGGATGTCAAATAATTTCCTCCAGCTGAACTCAGACAAAACAGAAATCCTGGTCATCGGGTCCCAGCAGATGGCAAATCAAATACTGCCATCTGCTGGTTCCCTAGTAAATCACATTAAGCCTGTGGCAAAGAACCTTGGTGTTTGGTTTGATAGTAATTTAAATTTCGAGCAGCACACCACAAAGCTTGTTCAATCATGTTTTTATCAACTTAGAAATATAGCAAAAATTCTATCTATGTTAACTTTTAAGGACACCGAGACCATTTTACACGCCTTCGTCTCATCACGCCTGGATTATTGCAACAGCCTTTTCACCTGTTTAACCCAAAAATCTATTGATCGACTCCAGACTGTCCAGAACTCAGCTGCCAGGCTTTTAACCAGAACAAAGAAATATGACCACATTACTCCTATTTTAGCTTCATTACAATGGCTCCCAGTATGTTTTAGAATTGACTTTAAAATTTTATTGATCACTTTTAAAGCTCTTCATGGCCTCTCGCCTTGTTATATTTCTGACCTTTTAGTCCCATACGCACCAGCAGGTACCTTGAGATTCTCGGGCAGAGGTCTGTTGTCTGTTCCAGAGTCTCGACTGAAAACTAAAGGGGACAGAGCTTTTGCTGTCAGGGCCCCGAGGCTCTGGAACAGCCTGCCCGAGGAAATCAGGTCGGCTGAGTCAGTGAACTCTTTTAAGTCCCTTCTTAAAACATACTTTTATAGGAGAGCCTTTCCCGATGTTATTTGACTTTATTTTATCCCTTTTATTTTATTCTACTTTACTTATTTTTTATTTATCTTAAACGTGTATTTTAGTCTTTTCAATGTTTTCTTGCTTTTATCTTGTATTGTTTCTGTATTATTGTTTTTTGGGTATTATTGTCTTTACACTTGTTAAAGCACTTTGTAACTTGTTTTTGAAAAGTGCTCTACAAATAAAGATTATTATTATATTATTTCTCACCTCAAAACTTCTCAGAAGTGGATTTAGTGATGAAATTCCAAACGAAAACTGTAAAATATAAAACTTTTTGTTGCTGGCCTCTGTCTGGTGCAGCGATGATGATGCAGTGAAGAGTGAATATTCTCTCTGACCAATCAGCAGTCATGTGTCATGTTATGTTATATGTTAGCATGTCATGTTTTCACGTTACATTTTAGTATCCCTCAGCTCGCTTGGAACCTCGATGGAGGTGAGGTGATACGAAGAAAAGTACCTGGAAGCAGGTACAACATTTTTACAATGGAAAACCAAACAAAGGCGAGTCCAGCCAAAGGGCCTCCGCTCAGACTAGCTTGGTTTGAGGGCGTGCCTGACCCCGCTAGCCGCTTGCCAAGCTTTATGACGCGTTTTCATTGTGACATCACAGTGAAGGAAGGGAAATGGCTGGACTACAAACGAGTTGTTTTCAAGCGGTTCAGAGCAGAGCTTTCTGTGGGAGATGGGAATTCCCTTTGGGCTGGACTTTGGGCTTTTTCACTTTGCAAACCTGTTACATGCACAAAAAAGAGATATTACTCAATAAAGGAGAGGGGAGCTAAAAACCATAATACCACCACTTTAACTTAAGCAGTTCCAATAAAGTGTGGCTCACAGTCCCAAACAGAGCAACGTTGTGCCTCAGTTTTTAGATTTTTATATTTCAAAACCCTACCAGTGACGTAACCACTCGTCACAACTATCCCGACTTACAGTGCGAGGTGCACTTGATTACTATCACAATATACACCGGTTTTGCATAAGACTCGCGCCTTTCTATTGCGGCACCCCCTGACATTTTGTGCCCTAGGCAACCGCCTACGCCATGGGCCAGACCTGTCACGGTTTTGTGGTGAAGGCAGGGTTGAGCAGGTTGGAGGACCCAGAGGGATCACTGGGGTAACAGACATGACAAGGGTTACCGAATACTAGACGAAAGACAAGACAGACCCCCAAAACCCAACAGACTAAAATAACGCTAACTAAACACAAAAGTGCAAAACACCGCAAGGCAGACAGGCAGAGTGTGACAGTACCCCCCCCTCAAAAGGACGGCCCCTGACGTCCTAAAACGAAACATCACAAAAAAACCCCAAACAGGTCAAGCCGGCCCAGGGTGGGCGGAGGGAGGCCAGGTGGAGGGCCAGAAAAACAAAACCAAAAGTCTCAAAGGGCCAAATACCGGCAGGGCAAGGCAGTTCAGGAGGCCGACCAAGGCGGCCAGAGGTGAAGTTCAGGGGCATACCCGGAGGCATACCCGGAGGTCGACACAACAGACAAGGAGGGCAAAACAGTTCAGGTGGGTGTCCCGCGGGATGACCCATGAGTCCAGACCAGGCGGGAAACAGAGTTCGGGAGGCCGTACCAGAGGACGACCCAACAGGCCGGGCAGAACAGGGGGGCCACAGAGTTCGGGAGGCCATCCCGGAGGACGACCCAACAGGCCGGGCAGAACAGGGGGGCCACAATGTTCGGGAGGTCGCCCCAGGGGACGACCCAACAGGCTGGGCAGATCACTGGGGTAACAGACATGATAAGGGTTACCGAATACTAGACGAAAGACAAGACAGACCCCTAAAACCCAACAGACCAAAATAACGCTAACTAAACACAAAAGTGCAAAACACTGCAAGGCAGACAGGCAGAGTGTGACAAGACCTGTTGTGAGGTTGTCACTGCTCTAGTTTCCCTAATTGGTAGACACCACTCACCACAATCTGAGTGTTATTTTAAAAGCATCTTCTCCACATGGCTCATTCTGGTTCAAAGATTCAAAGAATGACCGCTGGTATAGTCCAAACCATGGCTTTGGGAGCTGCTGCCTCAAACAGACCACATTCAGCTTTCTAAGGATGGTCTACTGGTGGAGGACTATGCTTTAGGCGCTTTCGGAGACATTTTGCCTGCAAAGAGAAAAACATAAACTTAGATGGGAGCATAAAAATGGTCAAGATCAAAGGAGGAAGTCACTGTATCTGTTTCAGTTTCTACTTCTACATCCAATGTCCAGCCATTTGTCTAATGATTAACTTATGAAAGGACAAGTACAATATGTGCAAATTTCACAGCCATTGGATAACACTGTTACATTCCTTGTAAAAGAGAATGAATAAAGAAAATCAATGAAATAAGGAGTAAGAAAGAGGGAATTTCTAGTCTTCAGCACTCACAGTTACAAAACGTTCGCCCCCTGGAATGAACTTATACTGCATGTACTTTGAGATTTGGCTGGCGGGGGCGAGCACATGGAGGTGGAGGTGATCAACTGAAGTGAAGGGAGGTTGGTGGAACCCCAGACTGTGGAGGAAAACACATAAATGCTGTGTTCAGCACCCTAAAAGCAGGTCAAAGTTCAGAGTTTAAGATATTGTGTGAGTATGTATTCACACCTCTCACTCCATTTTTAGCTACAACCAGTCTGCGCTAGTTTTGAGCTTAAAGGCACATCATACATTTTAAACAATTATTCTTTGATCATTACTTACAGGAAAAGTTTGACATTTTGGGAGAGACACTTATTCACTTCTCAGGGAGAGTTAGAGGAGAAGGAAGGTACACTTAGCTTAGCATAAAGACTGGAAACAGGGGTAAACAGCTAGCCTAATGGTAACAAAATCCATCTACCGGCACCTCTAAACGTCACTTTATTAACATGCTATAACTTGTTTGTTTGATCTGAATTAAAAGAGTGTTAAAATAACAATCTGCTTTTTGATGGGGGGTTACTTGGTGGATGATTTTTTTGGCTCTTAGCCATAAAATAGTCCGGTACGTAACAAATTGTCAATGTGCACTTTGTACGTATTAAAGCTGTTTCCTCCTATTTCTACTCTTTGTTAAGATATAAGCAAAGCTAACCAGCTGCTGGCTGTAGCTTTTTATTTAAAGGACAGACATGGGAGTGGTATCAATCTTCTCATCTAACTCTCCACTAGAAAGCGAATAAGCGTATTTCCCAAAATATCAAACTATTCTTTTAAACCTTTGTGTTTAGGGTTAAAAGAAAAGAAGAAAACCAAGCACACACTTATCTCTCTACCTTATGTCCTTCTTGTTAGTGAACCCTTGGTCTTGTAGTATAGCTTTCCCCATCTCAGCCATTTGTTTAACTGTTGGGGATATGACTCAGTTATTTTTAAGACCTGTCTTGATAAAACAAATGAGGCTGCTGAAATATCACCTCATTAAACTGAAGCAGCTGAACAAGTGCAATAGGTAATACTGGCCTACTAGCAGTAGTTCAGTCATAGCATTGTTATAGTAGTAGATAAGTAGTTTCAGAAGCAGCAGTAATATTCCTAGTTTTAGTAGTACCCTATCGTAAAAGCAGCAGTATGTGTATTAGCAGCATATATAATATTTATAACTGACCGAAGTTGACGTGTCCCCTGTGCAGTGAGTAGCAGCTGTGTATGTGCTGTGTGGGAATAACCAGGTAATGGTGGGGAGCAGCAGGATTAATGTCCCTGAAACACACCAGCTCCTTGTTCTGTTGGAGGGGATAAAGATGTAGAGATGAATAGAGTTGATAACCTAGAGGCCAGTGAATGCAGTGTTGTTACTGTAGGCCTACGTGTTCAATCTGTAACAGTTGTGTGGAGTAGGATAGAGCGGGTACTGTCCAATGTTGTGGTGCTATTACAGTTTTTCTCGATTTTTGACAATTGTCAAAACTCTAAGTACAATCCTCAGACCACATGGTACATTCAGCACACCACTCTATGTGACCTGCTAAAGGTCATTACTCAATCAAAAGAATTAACTGCATGTTTCAAATGTAAATAAATTCATCAATTAATAAGTCATTGTAATCAAAACAAAGGTTCCTTTATCATTGTTTAGACCAAGACAGTTACAATGCAGAGTTACAAAGACATCTTGTCAAATGACAGTTGTAAGAAATAAAGATTGTTACATTATTTGGAAATAAGTTTGTATTTAACTTTGGAAATAGGTTTTTAACCAATCTGTTTAACAGTCACCTGGGGGCAACAGCAGTGATTAAAATATCAAAGAGTCACTCTCTTCCAATTGAAACTCTGCTGCCATGTAGATGAGATGTTACTGTAACACAGAAAAATAGATGACACTATACAGTGATCGCGGGAACACCTTTTGCTATACATTTGTATGTCTCTGCTATCTCAGGATGCTATTTGTCTGTGACTGACCATTTGTCTTCGTGCATATGTACTTGAGGGTATTTTAAGGAGAGAAATGCTAGAGGTAGGGAGAGAACCGGATCTTTCTTTCCGTGGCCATGTACATAAAGGATTGATTCATCACACCTTTGACTCTTGATTCTTCTTTGGGACGAAATTTTCTTTCACACTGTGTACTCTGAAAGTGTGATAGTTTCCCACTTTGTAATATTGTCCTATTGCTAACATTGTATTTTTAGGCAGCTGAATAGTGTTGGTGTCAGCCATGGCACACAGTATACTTTCAACAAAAGATTCATTTGACGACACTGTGGACCGGCCCAGATTAGGGTGTACTCTCCGACAAACCTTTGTCATACTTAGGTTGATAATGGTTGCCTGAGTCTCATTTGAGATTTCTCTGTATCTTTGCCTTTCCCTGGCTCTTCCTCGTCCTCTGTGCCCCCCTCTCCCTCTTCCTCTCCCTCTCAAGATGCCCCCTTGCACTCTAATGCCCTTTATTCTTGCAGGAGCAGATTCTTGTCCCTGTCTGTCTCCTGCATGCTCCATATTCCACAGCTGTAACATTGAGTCTTACCCTTGCAGTATATATGTTTTCGATAACTGATCAGCTAAATTGGACAGTAGATGCGTTTGATTGCTCTAAATTGTTCCCCATCCAAACTAAATCTATCCATCTGACAACTTTTAGGATACCACATAACTATTATGTATCTTATAACTGTGTGACAGGTTATTGTGATTGTTGGTCACTGTATTTAGCATGTAAGGATTTACACAATGAACATATGTATAATTGCATTTGAAAGAAATATGATTCAATAGCAAACAAATGCAAAGTATTTTGATCTGCAAGGCTTACTCAGTGCATTTTGTGCTAAAGCTATTAAAATTGACATATAGTCATGTGAACAACTGACCTAATGTTCTTCTAAATAGTCATATAGTTTTACAAATTTAATAGTCATTAGACAATTAATTTGACAACCCAGCAGTTTTGAGAAAAACTGTAAGGCACTTCTCTGCAGTCTATGGTGTGGATACAAGCTCAACTATCTGGGATGGAGACTTGCAATCTGTTCCAGCAATGTTACAGGCTATTTTATATTTTAATGGTATTTGTCTTATTTTAATAAGAAGCCGGTCATGTGTCTGTCCCTGGCAGTATCATGAAGTGAGCTTTAGAGTCGCTTACCGGCACCTTTGTTTAAAAAGATCCCACCTTTTTTATGATTTCCGTTTCTTTGTCTTGTTCGTGAGCTATCAAACAGAAAATACAAGTTTCATCTTTTGAACTTGAGTCCGATTCGTTCCCTGACATCTTTCCGATATTTTCTCATGACAAATGTCTCCGGAATCCCTTCCTCAGTTTGTTGCCGGTAAAACAACGACCCACTGAGCGTAAACCTGCCAAAGATCGTCTGTGTGTTGCGAAGAGAGGTTGCTCAATGCTTTTTCTAAATAAACCCTGTGGGTGTGGGAAGTGAGCAGTCACACAGGCATCTTCGACTGGCTTTTCAAATACCAAACAATATTTAAAGGACATTTCAAAGGAAAGAATTAACCCATTTGGTCATTAACTGCCACAGCAAGCAGATATAGGTTTACTGACCCGTAGGGGACTTTTGCAAATTGTAAATTTGCAACTGTATTTTCCCTCCTGCTTCACGCAGTCCTTGTTGTGGATGTGTGGTTTTTTTGTTTGTTATTTGAGTGACTTTAGTCCTTAAAACTCTAGCTATAAAGACATAAATGACACATGTTTAGATTATATAAAGACATAAATGACACATGTTTAGATTATATAAAGACATACAATGTCTGATTGGAATGAGGGTAACAGTTCAATATGGACATACAATTAACGTCTAAGAATATTAAACGTTAGGCTATCTCATCCATAACTGACATTGAATCAGTTAGGCCTATATCAAGATTGATTGTACTGTACAAATTAAAACAATGTACAAAGTCGATGGTCTGATGATTGTTCTGTTTCCACTCTACTTCTATTACACCAAAAAATACAACATCCTAAACACTTGATTGCAATGTAGTTGATTTTTAAGCATAATTTATTATAATATAAACATTTGTGATTGTTTATCTGTTGGATTGACCGCGGTGAAGTTAGTTTTAAGTTGGATATTCGACAGACATTCACCCAGGATCCAGTGAAGGCTTTTTAGTCAGTTCACCCAGTGACGGTTGTATAAGTGCGGTTAGCTCACCTCTGATGGCTCGCTTTTAACCAACGGGGGTTAACTTAGGGACCGTCAATAAATTACAATTGTGAGAACAGTGTTATGGGAAAATCATTATTTATTTCAATAGCTTCCAAGTCATGTGACACAGGGACTTCAAACCAATGCCGAATTGTAGTACTAGACTAGGCAAATGAGACACACCCCTTCATATTTGATTTGAGTGCATTTTTTATTTTATATTAATATTTATTCATAATTTATGTAAAATAATGCCTTTTTTTTTCAATAGCGTCCAAGTCATGTGACACAGGGACTTCAAACCAATGCCGAATTGTAGTACTAGACTAGGCAAATGAGACACACCCCTTCATATTTGATTTGAGTGCATTTTTTATTTTATATGAATATTTATTCATAATTTATGTAAAATAATGCCTTTTTTTTCAATAGCGTCCAAGTCATGTGACACAGGGACTTCAAACCAATGCCGAATTGTAGTACTAGACTAGGCAAATGAGACACACCCCTTCATATTTGATTTGAGTACATTTTTTATTTTATATGAATATTTATTCATAATTTATGTAAAATAATGCCTTTTTTTTCAATAGCGTCCAAGTCATGTGACACAGGGACTTCAAACCAATTCCGAATTGTAGTACTATACTAGGGAAATGAGACACACCCCTTCATATTTGATTTGAGTGCATATTAAAATTTATATGAATATTTATTCATAATTTATTGAAAAAAGTGCCTTTTTTTTTCAATAGCTTCCAAGTCATGTGACACAGGGATTTCAAACCAATGCCGAATTGTAGTACTATACTAGGAAAATGAGACACACCCCTTCATATTTGATTTGAGTACATATTCGAATTTATATGAATATTTATTCATAATTTATGTAAAATAATGCCTTTTTTTTCAATAGCTCCCAAGTCATGTGACACAGGGACTTCAAACCAATGCCGAATTGTAGTACTATACTAGGCAAATGAGACACACCCCTTCATATTTGATTTGAGTACATATTCGAATTTATATGAATATTTATTCATAATTTATGTAAAATAATGCCTTTTTTTTCAATAGCTTCCAAGTCATGTGACACAGGGATTTCAAACCAATTCCGAATTGTAGTACTAGACTAGGCAAATGAGACACACCCCTTCATATTTGATTTGAGTGCATTTTTTATTTTATATGAATATTTATTCATAATTTATGTAAAATAATGCCTTTTTTTTTCAATAGCGTCCAAGTCATGTGACACAGGGACTTCAAACCAATTCCGAATTGTAGTACTAGACTAGGCAAATGAGACACACCCCTTCATATTTGATTTGAGTGCATTTTTTATTTTATATGAATATTTATTCATAATTTATGGGAAAAAGTGCTGGTTTTTTTCAATAGCGTCCAAGTCATGTGACACAGGGACTTCAAACCAATTCCGAATTGTAGTACTAGACTAGGCAAATGAGACACACCCCTTCATATTTGATTTGAGTACATATTTGAATTTATATGAATATTTATTCATAATTTATGTAAAATAATGCCTTTTTTTTCAATAGCGTCCAAGTCATGTGACACAGGGATTTCAAACCAATGCCGAATTGTAGTACTAGACTAGGCAAATGAGACACACCCCTTCATATTTGATTTGAGTGCATTTTTTATTTTATATTAATATTTATTCATAATTTATGTAAAATAATGCCTTTTTTTTCAATAGCGTCCAAGTCATGTGACACAGGGACTTCAAACCAATGCCGAATTGTAGTACTAGACTAGGCAAATGAGACACACCCCTTCATATTTGATTTGAGTACATATTCGAATTTATATTAATATTTATTCATAATTTATTGAAAAAAGTGCTTTTTTTTCAATAGCTTCCAAGTCATGTGACACAGGGACTTCAAACCAATGCCGAATTGTAGTACTACACTGGGCAAATGAGACACACCCCTTCATATTTGATTTGAGTACATATTTGAATTTATATTAATATTTATTCATAATTTATGTAAAATAATGCCTTTTTTTTCAATAGCTTCCAAGTCATGTGACACAGGGACTTCAAACCAATGCCGAATTGTAGTACTACACTGGGCAAATGAGACACACCCCTTCATATTTGATTTGAGTGCATATTAAAATTGATATGAATATTTATTCATAATTTATTAAAAAAAAGTGCCTTTTTTTTTCAATAGCTTCCAAGTCATATGACACAGGGATTTCAAACCAATGCCGAATTGTAGTACTATACTAGGAAAATGAGACACACCCCTTCATATTTGATTTGAGTACATATTCGAATTTATATGAATATTTATTCATAATTTATGTAAAATAATGCCTTTTTTTTCAATAGCTTCCAAGTCATGTGACACAGGGACTTCAAACCAATGCTGAATTGTAGTACTAGACTAGGCAAATGAGACACACCCCTTCATATTTGATTTGAGTGCATATTAAAATTTATATGAATATTTATTCATAATTTATGGGAAAAAGTGCTGGTTTTTTTCAATAGCGTCCAAGTCATGTGACACAGGGACTTCAAACCAATGCCGAATTGTAGTACTACACTAGGCAAATGAGACACACCCCTTCATATTTGATTTGAGTGCATTTTTTATTTTATATGAATATTTATTCATAATTTATGTAAAATAATGCCTTTTTTTTCAATAGCGTCAAAGTCATGTGACACAGGGACTTCAAACCAATGCCGAATTGTAGTACTACACTAGGCAAATGAGACACACCCCTTCATATTTGATTTGAGTGCATTTTTATTTTATATGAATATTTATTCATAATTTATGTAAAATAATGCCTTTTTTTTCAATAGCGTCCAAGTCATGTGACACAGGGACTTCAAACCAATGCCGAATTGTAGTACTACACTAGGCAAATGAGACACACCCCTTCATATTTGATTTGAGTGCATTTTTTATTTTATATGAATATTTATTCATAATTTATGTAAAATAATGCCTTTTTTTTCAATAGCTTCCAAGTCATGTGACACAGGGACTTCAAACCAATGCCGAATTGTAGTACTAGACTAGGCAAATGAGACACACCCCTTCATATTTGATTTGAGTACATATTCGAATTTATATTAATATTTATTCATAATTTATTGAAAAAAGTGCTTTTTTTTCAATAGCTTCCAAGTCATGTGACACAGGGACTTCAAACCAATTCCGAATTGTAGTACTAGACTAGGCAAATGAGACACACCCCTTCATATTTGATTTGAGTACATATTCGAATTTATATTAATATTTATTCATAATTTATTGAAAAAAATGCTGTTTTTTTTCAATAGCTTCCAAGTCATGTGACACAGGGATTTCAAACCAATGCCGAATTGTAGTACTACACTGGGCAAATGAGACACACCCCTTCATATTTGATTTGAGTGCATTTTTTATTTTATATTAATATTTATTCATAATTTATTGAAAAAAATGCTGTTTTTTTCAATAGCTTCCAAGTCATGTGACACAGGGACTTCAAACCAATGCCGAATTGTAGTACTACACTAGGCAAATGAGACACACCCTTCATATTTGATTTGAGAGCATATTCGAATTTTATATGAATATTTATTAGTATTTTATGGACAAAATTTTTTGCGTACATTTGTGAGATATGCAACTGTTTGTTTATTGCCAGGAAATTTTTGAAGAACACACCAATAAAACAAAATTTCAACAATTTAAGGCAGGTCTGTACAATGATTCAGGTTGACTAATATCCCAAGGAGCAGTAGGTGGCGATAATGCACCTGTACTTGAATGACAATCTCATATAATTTGCAAAGAAGAAGAACGAGGTAGAAGACAGTGTAGAAAAATAGACAACAAGGAAAAGGAGTTTGCTCTTTAAAAACAACATGGGGCGTTTCAAAAAAGGCCAGAGGCAGAGGAGTACAGATCTCTGGCAAAAAGCTGGAGGTAGAGATGTTATAATCAGGTCTTTCATTTTTCATGGTTTTACTGAGGTAAATATTACACCTGAACAGTGGAGCTCAGTCACACTTACTCTGTTTAAAAACAACACAAAGATCATCTAAAGTGGTTGAAAGTCATATGGTTTGAAGACAGACGAGCAGTCCGGACAGAGGTGCTTAATGCAGGTACTGTTACAATTAAGTTGTTGAGCCCCCAGAAGTTTTGTAATATTAGCTTAATTTTTGGTTAGACTACATCAAACTAAAGCAATTTGGATGTAATTAATAGAAATAAAAAAGGGAGTAATAGAATAGAAATTGTGAATTAATAGAAATTCACAAATTCTATGCTATTTCATGTCAAAATATTGGGTCAGTCTCCATCATAACCAAGAATGTCATTATTTTTTAAACCTATTTATTCACTGTGGTTGAATTAAAAATTTGATTTGCTTATGTTTTTTAGGTTTGACATATTTTTTAGTTAATTTAGTAATTAGATTAATTACTTTTGGGATATTTTTATGTTTAGGAAAAGAAGTCACTGAGAGAGAAAGGCTTGAGGAGACAGCTAAAAAAGACGAACATTGCAAGGTTAAGAGAAAGGAGACAAGGAGCAAAGCTCTGCAGACAAGTAACAGACAAGAGAGCAGAGTAACTGACAAACCAGATAAAGACACGGACAATGGAGAAGAGCTTAGCAGTGTAACATAGAACAGATACCAACAGGTGAAGAAGACAGGGACAGTACACCTGATGAGAGCAAAACGTGTACCACACAGCTGCAGCATGACACAGAGAGTCGAGAGAGGGTGAAAAAGGTCACAAAAGGCAGACAATGGAAAGGGACAAACAAGGACCAAAGAACACAGAGTCTGATAAAGAAAGTGACAAAAAGACTGATGAAGAAGAAGAGCTTAGCAGTGTAAACATAGAACAGATACCAACAGGTGAAGAAGACAGGGACAGTACACCTGATGAGAGCAAAACGTGTACCACACAGCTGCAGCATGACACAGAGAGTCGAGAAGAGGACATAGATGCATATAAGAAGACTTTAGGCCAGACAAATGAAAAAGTCCTTCCTAAAAGTAAAAGTGGGAAAGGAAAGGGAAAACTGAGAACTAAAACAGATGATCACTTTGAGCAAACTGACTACAGAAAGTGCAAAGCAGGCCCAAAAGTGTTTAAAATTGTGATAACAAGAAAACAATGGAACAAAATTAAACCTAAACATGGGGGAACAAAACTCATTCCCCCATGGACCGATACATTTTATCATGCATTTCTGAAAAAAAATCCATGCTGTACACTTGCTTTTAAATATCAGCATGTCAAGACAAGCGATAGCCGTAAAAAGAATTCCTCATTTTTCCGTGCCTCAGCTCAATGTGCATTTGATGGATGCAAGGCTGTCTACGTTTTCTCCAAGAAAAACAAACCAAAATCAAAGGATAAAAATATTTCCTTTAAAGTGAAGCGCAATGGGGAAGTAACACACCATAAAAATCAAACACGATCTAGACCAGCAAAATACCTGCGAAGAGGGAAGATTGCCAAAGCTCTTACCAATGGTGTCAGTAATTATTATTACTGTATGCTGAAAAAGACACCTGTTGAAGAGATCATGGCTGGGAACATAACTAGAAGCCTCACCAAGGATGTTTTGAAAAAAATATCCTCTGAAGTGAGGAAGAGTGCTAGGCTCCATAACGACATGATGCTTGAACTCATGCTGACTCAAAAAGTAATTGCAGAGAGCAGCAGTCATGCATCATCAAAAGGCTATCTTCAGCACCTACAAATAACTCCTTTTGCTGTACATTTACACACAGAAACTGGAATAAAGATTCTTGCTGAACACCTAAGAAGACCAACACCCATCACCCTCTACCTTGATGCTACAGGTGGCGTGGTTCAGAAAATCCCGGATCAAAATAAACGAGTGTTATATTATGCTCTCGTTTTGCCAGGCATGGGCAAAGACAAGCCTCCCTTACCTGTCACAGAACTGATTTCCAACAGCCATTCTATTCCATCTATTTCCCATTGGCTCATGGAATTCACAAGGAAGTTGTCTCACACAACAAAAAGACAAATAGCACAAGTCGAGACAGATTACAGCTGGGCTCTGATTAACAGTATGCTCATCTCCTTCAACAAGGAGAATATTTCAGTGTACCTTGCCAGAGCATTTGATATAGTGTCTGGACAAAGTGAACCTATTCCCCACTTCACTGTGCTGCATTTGTGCTCTGCCCATATCATGAAGGCTGTATCCCAAGCATTTGGCAAAAAAACAGGAGACAGAGGCATACATGAGTTTGCCGCATTCAGTTTTGCTTACCTCCTCAACTGCACAAGTATGCAGGTGGCCCTTGAAGTTTTTTATCACATGTGTGTGCTTTTTGATGCAGAGGAGTACACTCATTCGGTAAACCAGAGCAAAATGTACCTCAACAAGTGTGTTTTGCAAACCCAGGACATGAAGCTGGAAGAAAGTGGACATGTCATTGGAGAGGAGGAAAGACCAAGTGAGAAACCTGCTGACAGTATTTTTGGAAAATCACCTTTCACACGTGCTTTTCAAGTCAGACGGGACCAAGCTGAGTGTGACATCCTGTCAGATGATGCAGTTGGCATTAAAAACCATTACCACTGTCCGGGTGTCATCGATGTGCTGTTAAAAAACTACATGGGGATCTTACCGTTGTGGAGTGGTTTGTTGCTCGGGGATCTGTCACGGCATGGAAAAATCAGAACCTGTAAAACAGATGGAAGTGCCAAAACTAGGGATACCAACTGTCATGTTGAGCTCTGGTTTGGTTTGGTCAAACACTCCATCCTTTTAAAGAAAAGGTACCTGAGACCAGCAGAGTTCATTTCCAAAATGTTTGCCTCAATCCAAGGAAGATATATAGAGCACATTGGGCAACATAATTTGCCAATGCAGATTTTGGATAAGAACTTTGCAAGTTGTAGCAGGCCAGATGATGACCATGAAGAACAATGGAACAAGCGGGACAGCTCTGTTGGTCACTCCAGGTCCAAGTCAAAGTACTTCAATCCACCCAAAACACTATCAAAGCCCAAGAGCCCACATGCTGCAAAAGTAAAGAGAAGAGGAAAAAAGTGGATCAGGATCAATCAGATAAAGACAAAAAGGTAAATATATTTGAAATAATAAACATTTTACCAAACAAATAAGTAGTATAGGCTTGACTGGGGAAAAGTGCAGGAGAAAGGACATGAAGCAATATAGTATAATATGAATTTTGGTCAGTGTTTCAAAAAAGCGATCCATATGATTTATCATGTAAATTTATTTTCGGGACATACATTTCCCAATAAATGGGAACAATGTTGTAAAGGTACAACTACTAGGCCGTTCATCCTCAAAACCTTAAAGGTTAGGTATAAAGTACAAAACTGCTTGTAAATACACTATATAACATGGTATAAATAGAAGAAGAAAAACACTACATGGTAAAACAGAAAAATGGCCAATTCTAAATGTTGTTCTGCTGTTTTCTTAAAATAAGGCCTTCCTTCAAAATTTATTTAAAGTTTTTTTCTTTCAATACCCAGACTGTCCATAGTAACCAGCATGTATTGACTTCCTGTTAATCCTGACTTGCAGTTAACCTTACTGTGGAAAAAGAGGGACACAGAGGTGGTCGTTGCATTGGTCCCTTCACAGATTAAGGGGCGCAACATCCTTATCCACCACAGTGAGCTACGCACACTTCGACCACACCAGTGGTTGACAGGGGAGGTACGTGAGTGTATTTTAAGTATATAAAGATTCACTCTACAATGTAGGATTTATTGTATTTACATTTTTAGAATTACATCAAGGAATGTTCCGAAACTCAGAAAGGAAAGTTCCACAAATGTTGGAATGTGTAATAATTGGCTATTATGTTGTTTATGCCAGGTTATTGAGGCCCTGTTTCATGTTGCTGCCCATACATTCAGTGTGGTGGACACCATCTACTTGATGAGTCATTACACTACAGGTGGGATACTGTTCGGTGACAGAACTGAGCTACCCCGTCACAGTTTACCAAAGGTAATATGCTGTATGTGTTTTGTATGGTTTGTTTTGTTTGTGCGCGGTGATGGTGTGTGGTGGGTTTGGGAAATGGAAGTTTACACTCATTATCTACATACAGTAAAACATGGGCTTAGAATCAATCAAGTCTTCATTACAAACAATTACAAAATTGAGATAATGCATTACTTTATCCTTGTTCCTCGTTCAAAGTGTGCTCACCAGGAAAAATCCCCTCATTAATCCTTTGGTTGAAAGTAAATGTTTTTCTATTGGATATCCTTACCAACAGTTCTCTAAAGATAAATACAAAAAGAAAGGGCATCAAAACACATTTGTCAGTGGATAACTATGGATTTGTCATTAGAAGTCTGTATGTTTGTTTTCATCATTTTGTATTTCATACAATTGTAGGTAAACTTTGAGAACTATGAAGCTGTTCTGTCATTTGTGCTTGTCAACAACAACCACTGGAACTTTCTGGTTTGTAACTCTGTTGTTATTTGTTATTTTATTATTTTGTATTTGTCTTCGAATGTACACCATTTCACTTTTGAAAAGCAATGAAACGAAAAGTATTTGTGACTAAGATACATTTCCTTTTTCTGTGACAGTACATTAATGCTAAAACCAGCACAGTATTCTTGATGGATCCAGCCCCCATGTCATCTGAATTGGAGGACTCTAACGGGCTGCTAAAAGAATACAGTAATCAACATTTAAGCTTTTTTTTAAAATTTGATTATAAATATGTCTACGGTGAGTTTTGAAACCTGCAATAATAAGTTGGTGTTGAAGTGTACAAGGTAGATTTAATTGTTATATCACAATAGGGTTGTAAAATTAAATCCAAACCTTCTGCTACAACGCAGACGTTATTCAGTACAGAACACTCATAAAATAGTGAAATATTTGCATGGAGCAGTGCTGAGGATGAATTTGAATTAGAATTTAAAAGTCTAACAGCCTGGGGAAAACGCTGGCCTGCAATCTGGTGGTATGACAGCAGAGACTTGTATATCTCTTACCAGAAGGCAGCAGGGTGAACAGGCTGCAGACTGGGTGGGTACTGTCCTTTAGTGTCCTTGGGGCTCTGTAGGCACCTCACCTCACCAATATCACTGATGCTTAGTAGAGGTACCAATGATCTTCTTGGCGGTTATAATCACCCACTGCGG